AAAAGAATGGATGTGATTTGCTTGGAAGAACGTGTATGCATGTCTCCTTATCCCTCGAGTTTCTAGAAAAACAACGCTAGGCTCTCTATTGGAATCAGTCGGATCAGAAAAAAAAACATATATAAGAGGAAAGCTGGAGTCTGAACCTAACATATATACGTGTCTTTCCTTATAACTTATTATAAGTGCTCTTTTATGATTAGAAAAACACAATGGATTCATAAACTCTAAATCATCTCCAACACCGACCCTCAATTAAACCGTCCACAACCATCCGGACCACATGGTCCGGACGTGTTGTGCCAAATAATGCGGGCTTGTATCGGTCCACGGGGCAGTCCGGACGTACTTTCTCCCGCAAGGAGACAACACATGGAGGAGGGGGGCTTTGCACGCGTCCGGACAACACCCACGACCGCGCACTTCTGACCACCCGTGCCCACCAAACCCCCTCCTCTCTCGCACGCATGTGTTCCCGCTCTACGCCAGCTGCCCGCATTCATGCCTCTGGGTACTGCCCCACGCACGCCAAGGGTACCGCTCCGCTGCACGCCGGCTAAACACACATCCTGCCTCATTCCTCCAGACTGCCCGCCTTCCACCATTAAACCCGCGCGTGTGCCAGGATAATTACTCCAGCCACATGTCCGTTCGTGAGCCGGCTGGCATTAAACAGAACGCCGGTTGACTCCTCGTGTCCCCTCGCTATTTAAACAATGTCAGATGTCGAGCAAGAACCGCATCACACCTCCACTCACCATTTTTCTCCTTGAACTGTTTTCTCCATGGCATCTAATGAGCAGGAAAAAGAGTTGTCTGACATAAACAATGGCTAGGTGGCCCGTCAAGCCCGCAGGTCATGAGCTGAGGAGTGGCGAGTTACTCCAGGTCAGCACTGAGAGGGAGCACGGTGGCACGGGCATCATGGCTGCCATTGATGGTGCCATGTCGTACCGCCCCTCCCGTGCATGTGAGCGCGTCATCCGATGTCAAAACGCGCGTCACCGCGTCCTTCCTATAGAGAAAGAAGCGGGCTACATGGACATCGATGAGGTGGTGTCCAACACGTCTGCGCTCACCACCATCGTCGAGGAGAAGCTGTCGCTTGGGTCTCATGAATGCCATACCGAGGTGACACCAGCGTACACAGCCGGTGTCTTGCCCTCTAGCAGGCCACCGTCGTTCCCAACCCAAAACCAACTCTGACCTGTGTAGCGTAGGAACACGTCCCCACTGGCAGAAGCATCAGTTGGTTGTTCCACTCCGATGAGTGGTAGGGAGGCGAGCTGCTCTTTGCGTTGAAGCATATACCTGTAGGGCTCACAGCTGCCGGACATGGGGACGACATTGGAGATCCGCTGCGGCCGGCAGTAGACTAGTCAAGGGTATCCATGTCGCCGGAGTGGATATTCATCGTCGCCGGCGCCGGCTGTAGAGTTTTTAGTTAAAAAATATGTCCAAAATGTAAACGTTTTTGTCCGGTTTGTATGGAATCCACTGTGTTTGCATGAATTTCCTCCGG